TCCTAAGAGTAGAGCTGCTTCAGCGAATGGAACTGAAACTCCGTGGTCCCAAACGCCTGTTACTGATTTGACTGCTGTTGGTGAGGGTAGAGGTACTGTTTTGTCGTTGAAATTGGATAGGTTGTCTGATTCGGTTTCTGGTATGACTAATGTTGATCCGAAGGGGTATCTAACTGTTCTAAATAGTATGAAAATTACTAGTGATGCTGAGATTTCAGATTTTAAGAAGGCTAGGTTGTTGCTCAAGAGTGTTATTCAAACGAATCCGAAACATCCTCCTGGTTGGATTGCTGCTGCCAGGTTGGAGGAGTTGGCAGGCAAGCTTCAGGCTGCTAGACAGTTGATACAGAAAGGGTGTGAAGAATGTCCCAAGAATGAAGATGTTTGGCTGGAGGCTTGTAGGTTGGCGAATCCCGATGATGCGAAAGCTGTGATAGCTCGAGGTGTCAAGTCCATCCCTACTTCTGTCAAACTGTGGATGCAGGCTTCAAAATTGGAAAACGATGATATGAACAGAAGTAGGGTGTTGAGGAAAGGGTTGGAACATATTCCCGATTCAGTGAGGCTGTGGAAGGCTGTTGTGGAGCTTGCAAATGAAGAAGATGCTAGACTTTTGCTTCATAGAGCTGTGGAATGTTGTCCGTTGCATGTCGAGTTGTGGCTTGCGCTTGCTAGATTGGAAACTTATGACAATGCTAAGAAGGTTCTCAATAGGGCAAGAGAAAGGCTGACCAAGGAGCCTGCGATATGGATAACAGCCGCCAAGTTGGAAGAAGCTAATGGAAACACATCTATGGTTGGCAAGATTATTGAGAGGGGTATTAGGGCTTTGCAGAGAGAAGGTGTGGAGATTGATAGAGAAGCTTGGATGAAGGAAGCAGAGGCAGCAGAACGAGCTGGTTCGGTTGCAACTTGCCAAGCAATAATCCATAATACAATTGGAGTTGGAGTTGAAGAAGAAGATAGGAAGAGAACATGGGTAGCGGATGCCGAGGAATGCAAGAAAAGAGGTTCTATTGAGACTGCCAGAGCTATATATGCTCATGCCTTGACTGTCTTCTTAACTAAGAAAAGCATATGGGTTAAAGCAGCACAACTTGAAAGGAGTCATGGTACCAGGGAATCTCTTGATGCATTACTTCGTAAAGCAGTTACCTATAGACCACAGGCCGAAGTTCTATGGCTTATGGGGGCCAAAGAGAAGTGGCTTGCTGGAGATGTCCCTGCTGCTCGTGCAATTCTCCAAGAAGCTTACGCCGCCATTCCCAATTCGGAAGAAATATGGCTTGCTGCATTCAAGTTAGAATTTGAAAACCACGAACCTGAAAGAGCTAGAATGTTGTTGGCTAAAGCACGAGAAAGAGGAGGTACAGAGAGAGTCTGGATGAAATCAGCTATCGTAGAGAGAGAACTGGGAAACCTTGAAGAGGAAAGGAAACTGTTAAATGATGGACTGAAGCAATTCCCTTCATTTTATAAATTGTGGTTGATGCTTGGCCAGCTTGAGGAACGGCTTGCTGAGACTGCAAAGCAGCAGGATCAGCTTGAGAAGCAGCATGCTCACAAGATGGAAGCTAAGAAGGTCTATGATTCTGGATTGAAAAGTTGTCCTAATTCCGTACCGCTTTGGCTCTCTCTTGCTAATCTTGAAGAGGAGGTGAGCGGACTTAGTAAAGCTCGTGCAGTTCTTACAATGGCTCGAAAGAAGAATCCCCAAAACCCTGAACTCTGGCTAGCAGCTGTTAGAGCCGAACTAAAGCATGGGCATAAGAAAGAAGCTGATATTTTGATGGCGAAAGCATTGCAGGAGTGTCCCAATAGTGGCATTCTATGGGCATCATCAATTGAGATGGCTCCTCGCCCCCAGCGAAAAATCAAGAGTACAGATGCCCTAAAGAAATGTGACCATGATCCTCATGTTATAGCTGCTGTGGGCAGATTATTCTGGGTTGATAGGAAGGTGGACAAAGCCAGGAATTGGCTGAATAGGGCTGTGACACTTGCTCCTGACATTGGTGATTTTTGGGCTTTGTGCTACAAATTTGAATTACAGCATGGAACTGAGGAGAACCAGAAGGATGTATTGAAGAGATGTGTTGCTGCTGAACCAAAACACGGGGAGAAATGGCAAGCGATCTCAAAGGCAGTAGAGAACTCTCACCAACCAACGGAATCCATCCTGAAGAAAGTGGTGATTGCACTTGGGAAGGAGGAGAAGGCAGCCGAGGATAGTAAACATTGACTTACCAGAACGGTAGCTTCTTTCTGTCAAAAAAAGTGTTCTAGCATCTTTACCATTGGTTAGTTTTGAAATTTGATAATATGTGAATTATGAATAATTGAGTTGTTATATCACATGTAAGGACCTTATAGCTAGTTTGATCCATGTTCTTCTTTCCTATGACTCATTTCTTTAGTTTGCAACTTCAGTATTTTGATAATTAGACTTTTGCCATCTAACCCTTGTGATTTCCACTTCATTGCACATGTTTGTTCCCAATTAACAATGTTTGGATTCTTGAGTTTGGGAAGTGTAAGTCGTTATTTTCTTGAATGTGGTTTGGAGATTTTTCATTTGGCATTATGCAATCCGGATAGAGTAGTGACATCCCTAACTGCTCTCGTTTTTATCTTCATATATTAAAGTAGGAGAATACTAAGTTAATCGCTTCAGCATTTTCCTGCCCAAAATAAAGGCAAAATTGTAAAAAACACGCACAGGAACTTAAGCTTATTTAGCCTCTTCATTCCACTCGGCCAATTCGTTCTTCATAATGATTTTTTATGTTTTAATAGCTGTTCTTTGAGAGGATTAAAATTTGTGGTTTCTGGATTATTTAACAGATTTCCAAAATTCATAAGGACTTGTAACTGTTTAGGATTGATTATTTGTTTTTTTTTTGTGCGCTTCATGTTAGTACTAGTTTTGCATGTTTAGTGCCATGTTTTGCAATTTTTCAAGTGATTGTGTGATGTTAGGAGTTAGGACGGCATCACTGAAGTTCAGTATATTCTCTAGACATTATTTTTAACCTTTCTTCCTTTTTTTTTTGTGGGACAAGGATTTTGTTTCCAGTAGCTGTTGAAATCTGAGCCGTGACTCCAATTCTTAGCTGTGACTCCAATTCTGAGGCTGTTCTGTTGGTAAGCATGTGGTTGCAGGGGATTTGAATTTGGGGACAATGATTCGTTTGGTTGAGTATACTTTACAGTTTAAAATGGTTATCATTATAATGCTGATTCTATTCTTAAAATGGGATGTTGTTTAATATATCTGTATTTATTACCCGCATTCTAAAATTCTATATTACTGCTCTAACTATTGATAGTGCTGCTGCAAAGGCATGCCCTGTGAATTTTTGGAAGAATTTTTCTTCTTTTCTTCTTTACTCATATTGGACTATGTTTGTTTAGTTTGAGATTATTGTCATTTCTTTACTCATATTTGGACTATGCCCTGTGACTTTCCAGAACCATAGCTTCTTTATGTCAAAAAAGGATTGTAGCATCTTTACCATTGGTTAGTTTTGAAATTTGATAATATGTGAATTTGAATAATTGAATTGTTATATCTCATGTATGCTAGTTTGATCCATGTTCTCCTATCCTTTGACTCTTTTCTTTAGTTTGCAACTCCGGTATTTTGGAATTAGACTTTTGCCATCTACCTGTTGTGATTTGCACTTTATTGCACATGTTTGCTCCCAATTAAAAATTATTGGATTGGTATGTTTCTTAGACTATTGAGTTAAGTCGTTAGTTTCTTGAATTGGTTTGGAGATTTTTCATTTGGCATTACGGAACCCGGATAGAGTAGTGACATCCCTAATTGCTCGTTTTTATCTTCATATATAAAAGTAGGAGAATACTAATGTTATCTAGTTCAGTATTTTCCTGCCCAAAGTAAAGGCGAAATTAACATGCAAGGGAACTTAAGCTTATATAGCCTCTTCTTCATTCCACTCGGCCTATTCATTCTTCTTAATGATTTTTCATGTTTTAATAGCTGTTCTCTGAGGATTAAGATTTGTGGTTTCTGGATTATTTAACAGTTTGCCAAGATATATTCATAAGGATTTGTAAGTGTTCAGGATTGATTGTTTTTTTAGATTTTTTTTTTTGCACACTTCATGTTAGTACTAATCTTGCATGCCTAATGCTGCGTTTTGCAATTTTGCATACATCTGTATGCATTGATTTATTTAAAATCAACTCCCTTTTGAAAAAAAGAAGTGATTGTTTGATGTTAGGACAGCATTTGTTCAGCAGTGTATTCTCTAGACAATATTTTTTACCTTTCTTTCTTCTTTTGTGAGACGAGGACTTTGTTTCCAGTAGCCGTTAATCTTAGCTGACTTCAATTCTGAGGCTGTTCTGTTGGTAAGCATGTGGTTGCAAGGGATTTGAATTTGGGGACAATGATATGTTTGGATTTGAGCTATACTTTACAGTTTAAAATGGTTATTATTATGATGCTGATTCTCTTCTTAAAATTGGGTGTTGTTTAATATATCAATTTTATACTCGAATTCACAAATGGTATATTACTTCCCTAACTTATCTATGCATGAGTATCTATCTAACTATTGATATAGGGCCTGCTCCAAAGGCATTCATGTGAATGTTTGAAAGAATTTATCTTCTTTATTTACTTGGACTATGTTTAGTTTGAGATTGTTGGGAAGAATTTATCCATATCAGGTAGCTGAAGAATATGGTAATGGGTTCAACAATATTCTGAAATCGGAATAACTTTGTTCCATGCGATCAACTAGGTACTACCAAGTTTTACATATATGATGTTTGATTCTGTTGAACCTTTTATTTTCATCCAACAATATATACAGAACATTGTTCATTTCTTGATCCTCCAACATATAAGTGTCCATATCAAAATACTTTGAAGGACCAAAAATGATCAAGCAAACATTGTACATAAGATGGACATCATCATCAACTGTTTTATTAGGCAAACATTTATTCTACTAATTATACAAAACCTATAATAAGAAACTAGTCACCAAAGGTGATTGGCATGTTGCTTCAGCCAGCTGACTCCAGGAAAGATTCCAAGTTTGGTTGCAGAATTCTGAGATTGTGGATGATCCTAGTTCAAAATCTGCAGGAAAAACTCCGCCAGTGATCTTTTTCTTTTCGGCTGTTTGATGTTCTTCCTCGGATTGTGTTTTTAAGGATTCAGATTCCTCGGAAAGAGAGGGCAGGGGTATAGCTCTACCAACAAAAGACTTGCATGCTTTTCTTGTAATTGTTTTGATCTGACTACTCTGTCCGATTCTATCTAGGTACTTTCCCTGTGCTTCAATTTTCAGCTTCAAGCTTTTCTGAACCTTCCAACCAAATAACCAAAAAAATCACTATAGAGATTCTTTCCATCTTTGTTTTTCCCTCTAAGAATTATACATATGTTCTCCATTTTATATTGGTCAAAATAAAACACCTTATGTGAATAATAAATACTATAGTTGTTTTAATTTACTATTAGAAATTTTGGTCAAGCACACTATAAGATCACCTCAACTCTGTCATTCATGCATTTGTGCACCTCTGCTTGCATTTGAAGGACTTCCTTTAGCTGAAGAGCACTGTTCAGTTCATTTGTAAAATATAGTTAATAAGTTGATTGAAAAGAAGAAATGAAATTGTTGTTGCATGAGTTGTCGACTTACGATATAGAACAGAAATTTGGAAGTATATGTGATACACCTCTCTTCTCAATCTTTCCTCCTTCACAGGTGATATCAAGAAATGAGTTATAATTTCAACAATTGAATTTGGTATTATCATTATTTAATCAATACCTTATTTGGTTAAGTCAAAAACTTACTTGAGGTGGATTCTGGAATCAACTTGGAGATCCTGTATTTCTGAGCACATCCAAGAATTTAGTATATAGTTTTCAAATTGAAAAATAATCAAGTAAATGCATACTCCTTAGTTCTTATATCTTTCAAAGAATTAACATGGATGGAAAGTGGAGAAGAACCTGCAAGTGGCTTTTGACATGATAAATGCTCAAATTTGAAATGTCCATAGCCTTCATTACCTTCAATATACCTTTTGGTGTTGCCCCTGACAAACAAACCACATCAATTTGGTCCTAATAATTCATACAAGACTAAAAGCTAACGTGACTAAACAAAAAGTTAACATGTATTCAAAAAAAGAAGTTAACATCAAATTTTATGTAATTATTGTAGAAAATAGTTATTTGATTGGATAAATTGGAAAATGGTAACAAAAAAATTTAATGAAAGGAAAAATTGATAAAAGGACTACATCAAAACTTGATATCAACTTTATAAATAGGTATAGAAATAAATATATTTTTTAAAATGAGTATGAACCAAAGAAGTATGAAGTTACAAATAAAATAGTTCAATAAATTAGAAGTAAAAAGAGGATGCTCTTAAAGTCGGTATCTCCTTTTTAAAGTATATACATTCAAGCTATGCTTAGAAGTCAAATGAAAAAATGTAACATAATCATTTTGTAAATAAAAAAGGAGAATGAAATTTCAAGTAAGTTTTGCAATATTAAATTGTAAGTGAAGTTGAAGGTTTGAGTCATCTCAAAAGATAAAACATTAAGAAAATGGATTCTCTAAATTAACATATGTTTAGGCAGTCATGAATTTTAATTGTCACGATGAAGATTAGACAACTTATTTTGTATTATATTTAAAAATATATTTTGCAAGATTAGAATACGAGCCATCGAATATTATTCAACAATTGAAATCTCTTCACACATCAGTTGGAAAAAAAAATCTTATTTACAATCGAATTTTTTTTCACTAACCAGTTGAAAAAATAAATCTTATTCAACAATCGAAATCTTTCCATTAATCGATTGAAAATAGTTACTTAAAGTCTAATCAAATATTGAGTCCATATTCAAACTCAAATTTTAGGAACAATTTGTACTTAATTAATGTTCATTAACAAAAATTTCCTTCCCATTACAAAAGGGTTTAGGACAATAAAGAAAAAGTCATACATATTCAAACACTAAACAAGAACAATGAAATTGAATCCCTTAGAGTTATGGTTTTGTCGCATTTATGCGGTGAAAGTGTTTTTAACCATTCAATCTTAAAAATATTTTTTTACCAATAATGAATTTTTACAATTAAAATCTCTTAATGATTATGTTTTTTTTTCAAAAAATTATTCAAATAATCAGGTTTAAATTTTAATTTAAGTGTAGGCGTCATCTCATATGGCGCATGCACTAAAAAATAAAGTTATACATCATATGAAATGATTAATAAATGACATTACTACGATAGATTCATTTTTGAGTCATGCGCCATATGAGATGACACTTACATTTTTGCAGAAAAATTTTACGATCTTAATTGCATGATTAAAAAAAACATATATGATTTTTTCAAAATTATCTATTTTAAATCAGAACCGTTTGATCTTGATCAAAGACTATATGACTGCTGAGAATCAAGATCCAAGAATAATAGATATTCTTACAAACATCTCTACCATTAAACATGTTTTAGTAATTAGCCAATTTGATTATTCATTTGACATAATTCCTATGGATTAAAGAAATCTTACACCTTAAAAGTACTAGCAAGTTAAAAAAAAAAACTACAAAATTGCACTACACGTGTAACATGTTATAATGCATAGTATTGTTAGAACTTAGTGACACAAAGACTTACTATCAGGGCCCCCAAGCCTATTTACAGCCTCCACAAAGAGATCATGGAGTTGTTGTGTCCAGCGCAAGCGTTCTTTGTGTGCGGCAGAGCCATCATCTGAGCGAGTGGAACCCATAACTGAACTCTTGGGGAGAGGCCCAAAACATTGGGTTACTAAAGTGAAGGAATATAGTTAAAGGAATGTAAACAAGACAAAAACAGTTGTCAAAAACATAGAATTAACCAACGTGGCGATGTTCACTAAGGTATATTTGTTTCATTAGATTCTACATTTTGTCTTTAGTTGTCAGAACAAAACCATGTATAAAAATACTTAACATGTCTTAGCTTGGCGAGAGTGCCTGTGATTTTGTCAATGTCACTAACATTATCGCATAGTTTCATGCATCTAGATGACCGTCATACATCCCACATAAGACTTGGGTTGCTCTTCGATTTCTATGCAAACAAATAATAATACATCATTATTGTTCAATCGAGTTAGGACCATTCAGAAATTGACTCGAGTTTTCACGTAAATTCAAATTCAAATTCATCGACAGAGGGTTTGGTTATATACCTCTTCCATGTTGCTTAAGAAAATGGACTATAATTTGCAATGGTGAGAGAACTAAAAATAAACATGAATAAAATCTTGAGAAAAATTGTTGATTTCTCTCACTAAAGTCAAACATGAAAGAGTTTACATGAACTTCTCTAAGTAATGTAATAACAATGTCAAAGTATCTTTCTCAGCCAGGAAACATCATTCATTTGTGACATATATGTATTCCCAACTGCCTTTGAAACTAGGGTCTGGGCCTTCTCAAGCTGCATGAAGGGCACTTGTATTGCTTTATGCTCTCAGCTTTTGCAGGAGTGATCTTCACACACTTCCCGTGGTACCACCTCTCACATATATCGCAGCCAATCCAAAACTCGTCCGCATTGTAATTTCCGCCGCAGGTCCCGCAAAGTGTTTCACTGTGCTCGTCTTCCTCCTCCTCATAACCCTCGTCTGCAGGAAACTTTGGGTTGCTTTTGACTTGCCCGTCACTTGATCTCTGCAAATAAAGGTAAAAAGCCTATATGCTGGACCAGCCGAAAGAACCAAAGAAACAAGTATACCTCACTAGAAAATTAAAACACTAACCTTGGTGCTTCCTCTTGATTTGCTTCCACTGTCGGCTGCCGGCTTGTTGTCCTTGATCGGCTTCCTGTCGGTCACAACTTCAAAAACAGTGGGAAGTTCGTTGATTAAACTAAACAAACGTTTCCTGCCAGAGAATCATGGAAACCATCAATATAAAGAACCATATACCAAGTTGTAGCAGAAATTGAACAAAAATGCTACAATGAACAGATTCAATTTATACGGTATATAGCATCTTAATTGCTATGTTGAAGATAGAAAATACAGTATCTACTATCTACTAATCAAATTTTAGATATATTAATCATTAATAATCAAAACATATAGTTTAAAGCTATGAAGCACTAGCACAAACACGGACACGTCGACACCGGTAATAATTTGAACGTATTCAAGTTTGTCGGTGTCGTCTCGGACAGACACGTGTCGGTAGCCTTATACTGATAATGTATATTAATAAATAAATTTTAAAAAATAAACATAGAAGAATATACAATAAAATCCTATGTAAGCATGATCAAAATGCAGAAAAAATTTAAAACTAAAATTAGTAATAGCATATAACATAAAAGGAGATTAACCTGTTCAACATAACAACAAAACATCTCAATAAGAAGTCATAACACACAAGTTGTTCAACAATCAATCAACATCATAAAAACTAAGCAAGACTTTGAATATCAATCGAGCAACACATTAGAGGGTGATTTTTTTGCAGTGCAGGAACTGGAACACCTCTAAGAGTCACTGTCATATGTGCGGATAACCAAGGTGGTGAGCACGAACAATCCACCTTACCAATTAGTAAATTGTAAGGTTGCCCTAAGCTCAGAGTTGGTGATTGAGGTCAGTGCTCATTGTACAATAGGTTGAACAAGGGACCCAAGAATAAAAATTGAGGAGATGTGAGAATGCAATGAGGCAAAACGGAGTACCCGAATTTTTTATTTTGACTAATTGGTAGTGTTTTTAATTTATCAAAACAAATAATGTACCAACTTTCAAAAAATTGATACATCAAGTATTACATACCAAGAATGTATCAAAAATTTAACCAATCAAGTATCACATACCAACAAACCACAGATCAATTTAAACCACTGCCATTAACTCAAATTACAAACCATAGTTTTCAACACAGCCATATACATGCATCTCCCCTTAAGCAATAGATAGTTTTTACCTTTCATTGCGGTTAAGACGAGCTCCAAGGTAAAAAGCAACAGAAAGCAACCAGGAATCACTGTGTACAGCAACAAGCGAAAGCCAGTCCCTCCTATTCATCCCATCTCTAGCAAAATTGATCCCAAGAGCCGGCTCAGGTAGCTCAGGCGGAACTTCCTCCGCTGGCAGAGTCACTTCCCAGCTTTCATTCCCATGTCCATAGAGACACAAATTATCCTTATCTAAACAAAACACACCACAAATCAAACTCAATCAAAGCACAAATAAACTAAATATTACAAAAACCACATAACCCTAAATTGAATGTAACCCTCAAATCAAATTCTTCAAAGCAAACACATTACAAATTTACAACCCTAGTCAAATTTAACATTTCAACAAAAAAAAAACATGCAAAATTCACACATAACATAGAATCAATATATTTTAAAATATTAAAATTTAAACAAAAATTAAGTGAATAATAAATTCAGATCTGTTAATAGACGTTACCTGGATCACAAAGACCGTAAAATTCATCAACATCTGCGAAAAAAGGAACAAAAAACAATGATAAAAAAGGTAAGAACTTTGACATTAAAATCAAGAGAGAGAAAAAACAGATAAGAATTTAGCGAGATAAAACTAAAAATACCAAGAGTGAGAGCACGAAGAACAGCGGTTCTACGAGCGTTGAAATCTTTGAAGATCTCTTCAACGGAACGAGGGCTAGAAGCCATTTCCATAACCCAAGATCTGAGAAAAGCGGAATTGGATTTGGGGAAACTAGATGAAATTGAAAGGCTAAAGAGGAGAAACCATGAGAATGGATCAAAAGGGACGTGGAGTAGAGAGAAGAGAAGAGGGTGTGTTTGTTTGTGTACTGGTGTAGGAGTGTGTTTTTGTTGACGAGGCGATGATTCTCTGCGGTTATGGAATGGTAGGTACTATGATCGAAAGGTGTAAAGTGATGTATGGTTGTGTGATTTGAATCTAAAGGTTTATACTTGGGAATGCTGTAGATTTTTTATTTATATATTTTTTTTACAAGCAATTGGATTAAAAGAGTGGGGGTACTCAACCTAAAAGAAACAATAGTTAATACAAATTTAGGTCGAACAATGGAGCTTTACTTCAATCATAAAAATTTGAACAATTTCTACCTTTCAAATCTATAACATGTCAAGACCAAGTTACTAGTTTGGAATTGAAAATGATATCTCTGATCGTGATATTATTCCTCATGGATCAAATATTGCAATTGTACGAGTCAAATAACAAGAATTTTCTTTTGAGGCACACGCCTCGTTAGAAGATTAAAGAATCAAAGAAAATGATTGACTCTCATCCAATAGCGGAGTCAGGAACCTGAGTCAAGAGGTGCAAACTAACTATATCATCTTTGAAAACGTTCAAACTAACTTAAGTGATTCGACTCTCAACCACTAATACCTTAAGAACATAATTTTTATATCCTGAATCAAACTTACACGATATGTTGTCAGCGAACCAATTTGAATCCTCTTGTTGATAGTTGTCGAGGGATAAAATGTCCTTCCACCAAAGAGAGTCCTTGAGAATAATATGTCTTTATTATCTCCAACGACCTGAGATTCTAAATTGACATATCTATGATGGAGAGTTATGAACCAAATCGCTTGATTAACGGTTAATCATCTCCAATTTATTTCAATAAAATGACATTGTTCGTTTGCTAAATTATTTTAAACTTAATTACAAAATTTTGGTTCCTATTTATAAGATTTACGAAATTGACACTCTATTTAAAATTTAAATGATTTTGATCATTCTCTCATACTTTTATACTCTTAAAATTAATAATATTTTTATTTTTTAAACAACAAGTTTCTTGTGAAACAAGGCAAATCATCGAATATAAATTTATTGTAGAACTTTAAAGATAAAAATATAAGTTGAAAAACGATCATCTCATCAATTTTTTATGAAAAAAAAAACGTGAGAGGAGATCAATGTTTTAAATTTAAAATTGGGAGACTGATTTTGTGAATCAGATAAAGTTAGAGGACTAAAATTGTAATTTAATTGTTACATTATTTGTAATCGATGCTTTTAGTAATTTCTTGATACATCTATATCTACTTGGACAGTTAAATTCAAATATAATTGCTAAGACTTGGATTAAGTTTTTTAGATTTTCTAAATTAGATGACAAACACGTTCTCTCGTATTTATTATAAGACAAAATTTATTTTTTAAATTCATCAAAATTAATGTATAAATATACTATTAATAGATCAGATACACCGATTATTCAATCAATCTAAAATATAAATTTTATTTTCTAAAAAAAGTATAATTTAAGAGATGAGTTTTGACATCTTCATGTAATAATTGATATTCGTGACTAGTAATATTTGTCTATGCATATAATATATGTTTTTAGGGTTAAAAATAATATATATTTTTAGAGTTAAATATATTTTTGGTACTCCTAAATATCTCATATTTAACTTTTAGTCCTTTCAAAAAAAATTTCAAAGGATTGTCCTCTTAAAAATTTTAACTTTAACTTTTGGTCTCTCCTGCAATTTAGCGACGGTTTTTATAAATTAGCGACAATTTTTTATTTAGCGACAGTATTGGCAGGAAGGACTAAAAGTTAAAATTAAAATTTTTAGGAGGACCTTTCTTTGAAAGAAAGTTTTAAAGAGATTAAAAGTAAATATGAGATATTTAGAAGGACCAAAAACATATTTAATTTTATTTTTTATTAGGTAAATTATTTAACTTACTAGTATCATTTTGACGCTATGTAAATACATTTATGTATATATGAATGTAATGTAATGTCGTCTTTTAGAATGTGTAAGATGAATTATCGAACAAAATTTAAAATTTGTCGAAATAAAATTTTAGCTAAAAAAATTTAATAAAATATTTGATAATATAATTTCTATTTATTATATGTTCATTTTTTCATAGTTAAATTTTTGTTAAACTGTGTAGTTTCGAAAACTTGTGTATATATAAACAATTAAATTCAAAATATAACTACTAAGATTTGTAACTTTTTATATATATTTTAGACCAAAAAATACTATAAGAGATTAAATCATATACATTTTTTATGTATATGTGGTTAAATACTCATTCAATAATTATCTCTCATATCATTGCATATTTAATTCTGCCAAATTAAAATTATACAATAACATATAAAATAAAGGATTGTTTGGGGGTGGTTTCTCAACAATTTATCTCTCAAAGGTAATATTAGTGCTAGATTTTTATTAGAAGATCATTGTCGTTCTCAGAGACAATGTCAATGATAGACTTTCACTGAAAGATCTTTGTCTCCCTTAGAGGCGATGCCAATGTTGGACTTCCTCTGGAAGATCATTGTCGCTCTCAAAGGAAATGTGAATATTGGACTTGCACTAGAAGATATTTGTTGTCCTTAGAGACAATGTCAATTTTAGACTTCCATTGGAAGATTCTTGTTGCTCTCCGAGGTAATATCAATGTTAGACTTCTACTAGAATATCCTTATCGCCCTTAGAGATAATGTCAATATTGAACTTCCATTAGAAGATCTCATGTCGCTCTTAGAGCCAATGTTAATATTGGACTTCCACTAGAAGATCCTTGTTGTCATCAAATGCAATATCAATGATGGACTTCCACTATAATATCCATGCCACCCAAGGGGCAATACAAATATTGGGCCAATACTAAAGAATTCTCAAGCTTCACCTCACTCACAATTAACCATTTTTTCAGATCATAAATATACCATATATTAGATCCTTTAAATAAGCAGCTAAACAAGTAATTCAACTTAAAGTCACTCCTAAGATACTCAACTTAAAGTCTCTCATAAGGGACTAAACTTAAATTCTCGTTTTAGGGACTCAACTTGAAATTTTATCTCCGAACTCAACTTAAAGTCTCACGTAAGAGACTCAATTTAAAATATCGCCTAAAGAAACAAAACTAAATAACTTCTCCCTTTACAAGACCTCGTTCTTAAGAAACTGTGTACTCTGAGAATTTTTCTTTGCCTTAGAGAAGGTAAACCAAAGGAGTTAAGACAAGCTAGTTCTAAGCAAGTACATAAATAGTATTCCATGCTGCCCAAAGTGGGAATTCTAGTTGCCCGCTGATCACAACATTCGCTCGTTAGTTGTAACATTCACCTCTTGATCACAAGACTCACCCACAATTGAGCTTAGGTTAAACCACCCCTCAACCAGGTCTAAAACATGTGGGTGAACGTGTCCTTGGATACTAACGGTATAGAATTTTAGTCAATGGGGGTAGGCGCATTCCCCATAAAATAAGTCTAATAATAATTTGATGCTCTTGAGAGAAGCAAAATAACCACCATATGGGTATAAGAATCTAGGCCTAATAAACCTCTACAAATACCTCCACTATTAGGTTGAGAAGGACATTCAATTCACCTAGAAACAACATATATAGAGATTCTCAACATTCCGTATGAGCTTGATCTAACACCAAAAACAACCTTAAAACCCTCAGACGGCCCCACACAATCAAGGGTTGTCCCTCACTGTACTTTTAACAAGTACGTGTACCCAAATATTTTTAGCTTCTGGTGCGTTAGTGACTTTAAGAGGTCTAGAGTTAGTTTTTTAGAACATCTTAATTAATTTAATTTTGCATAGCAATAAGGTTCCAATTCACCGAGCTTATTATAAAAATTGCATTTGAAAGCAGGACGAATAGATTTCTTCCTAGCATGATAGATATTAATAAATAGTTTTTCAGGCTTATAACCTAAATCATTTTTATTGTACGAAGCTCTTTGATTAGACAAAATCAAATATAACTTATCTTTACCCTTAGTAAATTTTCCTAAAGTTTCATGCAAATTATCTACTTCTTTCTTTAATAAAATAAGGGGTTTAACATTTGATTTCAAAGATTGATTTATAATATTAGTTATTTCTTCACCAAGAATTTTATTACTATTTTCAATAAAATGAATATACTCTTTAAAATCAATGATATTTCTTTCTTATTTCTCATTATCTTTACTGAACTTGACAATTAACTTAAACATTTACTTATAAGTTAGATTTGCTAACATAATGTCGTCATCATCTTTTAAGATTTTAAAGCACACGAGTTCCTCTTTGTCAAATTCCTTTCTTTTAGAGGAAACTTCATGAGAATATTCTGACATAATATCGCAGTGAAAAATCGAGAAGACCAAGATATTGAGGAACTTGACTCACAAAGACTTAAGAAGTCACCACCAAACTTTATTGTTTCCAAGGAAAAGGGAAAAGATCGAAACCTTATTGTTTAACATGCAATGCAATAAGTAAAGACTAAAAGCAAAGCATAAGGAAAAGATCTAAGGTACGGGAGTTGGTTATACAAAGGGAATATATTAACACCCTATGTGTCTATAGTACTCTATAGAAACCATTTATAATATATGTTTTTGGTTTAGAATTGTTTGCTTGCTAAATGGGTGTGGAGATGGGAAAAGAAATATTTTTATTATATTTTTGTTTGGAAAGACATTGTCTTATACATACGTACCAATTAAGGATCAAAACCTCGTAGTTCGTGGTAAAAATAACAAAAGGGTTTGTTATGGTTGATTTTAGGAGAAGAGGTATTTCTTCATCTTTTAGAGAGAAAGCTCAACTAATACCACCACAAGTATGATAAGATGGATCTTGCGTCATCATGAAGAAATGGCTACTAACTTGGATATAAATATCTACAA